TATAAGTTTGCCCTGACTTGTTGTGCCCTGTGTTTTATGTTCCATTCTCGCGCACGGCCCGATGCGGCTGACCCTCAGGGCAGGCATCCGTGCGCTTACCCCACATCTGGGGCGCGGCTTGCCACCGTCCAGGCGCTGCCTGCACCTGGGGTGGTAGGTCGCGTCGTCCTTGTGTGGGTGGTCGATTGTGTTTCTCTGGCTTGCGTTTCTTGTTTAGGTCTTTGTTAACATCTCTGATGTAGTAGTCCTTGTGCCAATCAGTTCATTCCAGCCTTGGCCGTGCCCCCCCCCCCCCCCCCGCCTCCCGTCGCCCCACCTGGGCCCAGGGGGATCGTTGGGCGGGGGCTGGGGCGCCCTGCGGGGATATGGCCTGCGGATTACCCTTGAGCCCTTGGAGCCCTCTGCATCTCTGGGTTCTGGGCATCTTGTTTGCCAGCCTTGTGCGTACGGCCCGATGCGACTGACCCGCGGGGCAGGCATCCGTGCGCTACCCCACATCTGGGGCATGGCCTGCAACCGTCCTGGCGCTGGCTGCACCTGGGGTGGCAGGCCGTGCCGTCCTTGTGTGGGTGGTCGAAGGCTCTGATTTTTGATTTTGTATTTTGTGGATGAGGTGACCTGTTGCCTCATTATCGTTTTGGCCGTGCCCCCCCCCTGCCCGCACCCCTCCCTCGCCCTGCTCGCCTGGGCGCTTGGGGGATCGTTGGGCGGGGGTGGGGCGCCCTTCGGGGGCGGCCTGCGGATTACCCCTCGAGCCCCTTGAGCCCTCTGCAATGCCCCAGGGCTGGGCTTCGTGGGTGAGGGGCCTGGCCCAAGAGCGGCCGTGGCCCCGTCTCGTCTGTTTTGCTGTGAGGTCAGGCGAGCCTAGTTTGGCTGACCTCCCAACGGCCCTTGAATGAATGAATGAATGAATGAAAGGAGGAGGAGGAGGAGGAGGAGGAGGAGGAGGAGGAGGAAGAAGAAGAAGAGGAGGGGGGGCAGGAGGGGAGGAGGAGGAGGAGGAGTGGGGAGGAGGAGGAGGAGGAGAGGGACGACGAGGAGTGGGGGAGGAGGAGGAGGAGGAAGAGACGAGGGAGTGGGGAGGAGGAGGAATGGGGAGGAGGAGGAGGAGGAGAAGGAGGAGGAGGAGAGAGGGAGGAGGAGGTGAGGAGGAGGAGGAGGATGAGGAGGAGGAGGAGGAGGAGGAGGCGGAGGAGGAGGGGAGGAGGAGAAGGAGGAGAGGATGGGGAGGAGGAGGAGGAGGAGGAGAAAGAGGAGGAGGAGGAGGCGGAGGAGGAAGAGGGAGGAGGATGAGGAGGGCGGGGGAGGAGGAGGAGGAGGAGGAGGAGGAGGAGGAGGGAGGAGGAGGAGGAAGGACGAGGACGAGGAGGACGAGGAGCGAGGAGTGGGGAGGGGAGGGGAGGAGGAGGGGAGAGGAGGAGGAGGAGGAGGGGAGGAGGAGGAGGAGGAGGAGGAGGAGGAGGAGGAGGAGGAGGAGGAGGAGGAGGAGGAGGAAGGAGCGGAGGAGGAGGAGGAGGAGGGGAGGAGGAGGAGGAGGAGGAGGAGGAGGAGGAGGAGGAGGAGGAGGAGGAGGCGGGGAGGAGAGCGAGGAGGAGGAGAGGGGAGGAGGAGGGGGAGGGGAGGAGGCGGAGGAGGAGGAGGAGGAGGAGGAGGAGGAGATGAGGAGGAGGAGGAGGAGGAGGAGGAGAGAGGAGGAGGAGGGCGGAGGAGGAGGAGGAGATGGAGGAGGAGGAGGAGGAGGAGGAGGAGGAAGGAGGAGGAGGAGGAGGAAGAAGAGGAGGAGGAGGAGGAGGAGGAGCGGGCATAAAATGCCGACGCTCCGCGCGGACGTCTTCTGCATGGCGCGGCAGCGCGAGGGCGCGGCAGCGTCGCCCGCTCGCGCGCGCAGCCCTGCCCGCTTGCGACGCGGCGAGCGCAGGACGAGTGCGCTGCGCGCCCGAGCGGGGGAGCGTCGCTCTCGGGCGACAGATCTGCGCGGCGCCCCGGCGGGGGGGACGTCTGCGCCTGCTCGCGCCTGGCCCCGCTGTCGACGAGCGCGCGAGGGAAGCAGGTGCGCCGCCCCCAAGCCGGAGATCAGGTGGGATCAGCCCCGCGGGAAGAGGAGCGCGGCGGCCGCTGCGAGGGCGACACTTCGCCCTGTCGCGCGGGGTGCGCGCCCCGCCCCGTGTTCTGCCACGAGTTTGGCCACGTCGCAGGCAGAACGCCCATGTGGATGGAAAAGGCGCGCTTGTACTTTGCACGCCTTTCCCCAATCAAGCTTGCCCAATGGGTCGCTTACAGTGGGAACCCATGCCAAGAAGCACCCTGCTTACCTCCAGGGTGCCCTGGGTTTCTAGGGCTTGGATGGTCTTGCTATGGAAAGCTTGACGCTCCCGCGCCCCAAATCGGTGTACGTCCTGGGGTCTGAGGGTGGGGCTTCTTGTGGAAGGTCTCTCGTGGTCGAGCCCATGGCTGGACCTAAATGCGGTTCTGCTGGACTTCGGCTGTGTTTTGTCTTTCGTTTTTGGGAGGGAGGTCCAGGAAAACGGGCAGAGCAAAACGAAAAACGAAACGACAACAAAACGAAAAACAACGCTTGGATCCAGCCCTGGTCGAGCCCCTACTGCAGCTGCTATTGAGCAGCCGATGGGCGCGCGGCATGCGCGGGCCGGCCCTCCTCGGCCTCCCTGGGCTCCCTTGGCCTCGTCCCCTCCCTTGGCTTCGGCCGGCCGGCCTTCCCCGGGCGCTCCTTGGGTTCCCCGGGGTTCCTCAGTCTTGCATCCTTCCTGTCCCGGGGCTGCCAAGCAGTGCCAAGCAACGCCGAGCGATGCCAAGCAATGCCAGGCAACGCCAAGCGATGTCCAGCAGCGGCAAGCAGTGCCACGCAGCGCAGAGCCTTGCCAAGCCATGCCACGCACCAGGGCATGCCAAGCAGTGCCAAGCGATGCTGCCAAGCAAGGCGAAGCAAAACCAAGCAATGGCATGCAGGGCGAGGCAATGCAAAGCAATGCCAAGCAAAGCAAATCAAAGCAAAGCAATGCAATGCGTTGCCAAGCAAAGCGAGACGATGCCAAATAACGCCAAGGAGTGCCTAGCAATGCCAAGCATTGATAAGCAACGCCAAACAATGCTAAGCAACGCCAAGCAATGCAAAGCAATGTTTAGCAATAAGATGCCAAACGAAGCAATGCAATACCAAACAATGCTAAGCAGAGCCGCTCAGGAAGCGTTTCCCTAATCGGGGTCGTGCTCGGTTCATGTTTTTTGGTGGGTTGGATGGAATGACCCAGATGGGGATGCTGTCTGCCAGCCAGGTGGCAGAGTGGGAGTCTGTTCTAATGGCTCTCGGCCCATCCCACCACCGTGCCTGGGTTGTGGGTACGAAGCCTATTGGAGAGGCCTGACGGCCGGTGCCGCCGACCCTGATCGAAAGGGCTAGGAGTGGGGGGAGGAAGCGGAGGATGAGGAGGAGGAGGAGGAGGAGAAGGAGGAGGAGCAGGAGGAGGAGGAGGAGGAGGAGGATGAGGAGGAGGAGGAGAAGGAGGAGGATGAGGAGGAGGAGGAAGAGGAGGAGTAGGAGGAGGAGGAGGAGCCTATTTGATGTTATTTGGGATCACGCGTCAGGCCTGTCTGGAGCCTCTTGTGGAGGCAGTGAGGTCTCCTGGGGGCCGTTGTGGGGCCTCTTGGGACCTCTCTTGGGCCTCTTGGTGGTCTGTTGGGGGCTCTTGGGGGCGAGGCCTCGTGGATATTCGTTGGGATCTCTTGGGGAGCCTCTCGGGGGACTCTTGGAGGCAGGTGCGACGCAAGCAATGCCGACGCGCATGCTTGAGGCCAATTCGCGGAGCGGCGTCCTGCGAATCCGACGCGGAGCACTCCGGGAAAATTCCCAGTTCGGCGCGCACACAGCGAGGCCAATTAGCGGAGCGGCGCTAGTCCGACGCGGGGCACTCTGCGAACCGCCTGCTTCGAGGAGGATTAGCGGAGTGACGCTTCGCTAATCCGGTTTGGAGCACTCTGGGAATCCGCGCGCATGCTTTGATGCCAATTAGTGGAGGGGCGCTCCGCTTATCCGACGCGACGCGCTCCAGTTGGACTCCGTGCCCCTGAAAGATTCCTCAGGAGTGAGGACTGAAGCGTAGGGGATGAGGCAAAGGATTTAAGGGCACGCCCGCTCCGTGCCCATGGGCACGATACCGGATATTTGCAGGGAATGAGGATGGAGAGAGGAGGAGGAGGAGGAGGAGGAGGAGGAGGAGGAGGAAATAGCAAATCATGGGGAGGTGGGGGGCGAGTCTGATGTCGGTGACAATGATGATTATGATTATGGTGGTGACGGTAATAAGGATTGGCATGAGGGGAGCGGTGAGCATGAGGACGACGGGGAAGATGAGGAGGAGGATAATGAGGAGGAGGAAGAGGAGGAGGAGGAGGAGGAGGAAGAGGAGCAGGAGGAGAGGAGGCTGAGGAGGAGGAGGAGGAGGAGGAGGAGGAGAGAGGACGATGGGGGATTCAGACCCTAATGACATTGCTACATGTTTGCACAAAGCAAACCGAAGGAGGAGGAGGACGAGGAGGAGGAGGAGGAGAAGGAGGAGGAACAGAAGAATAACAAACAGATGAGGGGCAGGATGAGACGGATGAGAAAGATGAGAAGGAGTGAGGAGGGATGGAGAGATGGGGGGGAGGAAAAAAGAAGGGAGCAGGAGGAGGAGGAGGAGCAATAGCAGAATCAGGAGGGGCAGGAAGAGGAGGGCTCGCAGAGGACCCCCCCCCGACTGGCTGTCACCGGCTCGACGGCGGCCCTGGTCGGAGCCGCTTCAAGAGCACATGACCTGAAAGATCGGCTCTTCTTCAATTCGCAGATGTCTCGATGTGGAGGAGGCCCCCCGGCCTGCAACGACCCGCCACTGCGACCCGCCATTGCAACGACCCGCCACCGCGGCCCGCCACCGCCGACCTTTTGCTGCCCGCCGCAGCGACCCGCTGGTGCGACCCACCGCTGCCGACCCGCCGCTGCCGAGGAGGTGTCGCGGGTGCTGCAGCCCAGCGGGGTTTACATCGCGGTGTCCCACGGGCAGCCGTCCTACCGCCTGACGTACCTGCAGCGGCCGGAGTTCGGCTGGAACGCGGGGGCGCCAGCGCGCCCTGCATCCGCCGAGTTCGGCCGAGGACGGGGAAGAGGAACCAGGGGGGAGGTAGGCGTACTTTGCCTCTCGTTGGCGGCGCATGTTTACTTCGAGTGGTAACCCCGCGTGGGTTTCGGGGGCCCTCGGATCCCCTCCTGGGTTTCCTCCTCCTTCTTCTCCTTCTTCTCCTCCTCCTCCTCCTCCTCCTCTTTCTTTTCCTCCTTCTCCTCCTCCTCCTCCTCCTCCTCCGCCTCCTCCTCCTCCTCCGCCTCCTCCTCCTCCTTCCCTTCTCCGCTCTTGCCTCCCTTCTATCCTCCGGGGACCGAGGAGAGGATAGCGAGCGCCGCTGTTTTTGCGTCGGCGAGCGGCGCAGGCAGCAAACGCGCGCGCGCGGCTCCGCGCGTCCTCTGCCTCGTCGTCGTCTCGTCGGTGATAGCTAACGGTCAGCGTGTTGTTGTTTTTACATATATGTATGTATGTTTAATATGTGTATGTATATATATATATATATATGCATGCAGTGCTGCAAACATGTGTGTGTGTAGGTTTGGGTGGTCGCTGGGGGGATTGTTCATTTGTGTATGTATGTGTGTGTATGTATGTATGTATGTGTGTGCATGTATGTATGTATGTATGACTGACTGACTGACTGACTGACTGACTGACTGACTGACTGAATGAATGAATGAATGAACGAATATATTCACATACGTACACCAAATTACACATTTATATGCAAACACGTAGACTCCCATGCAGGAATTCGGCCGCTTGCATAGGCGTGCCGAGGCTTTTGCATTGAGGAGGTGTTTGACCCAAAGGCCCCTTACACCCCCAATTCCAGGTTATCAACCGAAGCAGCACGAAGCGCTGCACTTGAGATGGCGAGTTCAGGCGAGGGGACGTCCATCCGACGAGGTCCCTTCGGAAGAGTCTTCAAATAGGCTGCAATAGACCCATCACGTCCGAAATGTCCTTCCATACGTCCCTACACGTCTTCTTATTGCCAGAAGCGCACTCTTGGAATGCCAGCAATAAGTGGGCGCGCCATTCAGGCCAAGGCGCAAGTTTGAAGAAGAGTTACCTTGCATCCCTCTTGTGCGCAATAAGGAATTCGAAACGGTATGATCACCCGATTCAACTAGGTCTCCAGCAATAACAAATTCTGCTGGGGAGAAAAAGATCGCCCCATCGGCGCAGCTGTTGCACAGTTTTACATGTCTGACCATGCGCCTGGTGCGCTGGGGGATCAGACGCTGACACGGCAAAGTTCCGTATGAGATCTGATGAAATAAGGTTTGTCTTTTACCCCATTGTCCCCAAGCACGGGCGGCATGATGTCTTGGTTACGAAGGCATCGGGAAACATGAGGCAATCTTTCCCATTTGATCAGGTACAACAAGTACCACTTCGAATGGTCGAGCAGCAGTTGTCGAGACCACAGGCGGGACCTGCGAGGCTAGTCCAAAACAGCCACCGTAGAACATCAAGACCGATCGCAACTGCAGCGATGCTTCAGACCCTGACCCAGCAGGTAGCTGAAATCCAACCCTTTTTGAGCAGGAGAAATTGTTCGAACAGCAACAACAATGAACTAACGTTAGCAGGTTGCGGACTACCGTTGCGGAGTTCGCGAGCGCCTCTCAGGCGCAGAAGGCCCAGAGCACGGACCCCCAGAATCGGGGGATTCTTGGTGAGTTGGCAACAGTTGCTGCGCAGGCCCGCCGCTCCAACCAGCGAGCAACAGAACAAGGGGTCACCGACATCCTGGAGTGGACCAGTGCCGTAGAGCACGCTGTCCAACGGCATGAAGCGCTCGAAATTCAGGTGGTCTCGCTGGAGCAGCTGGTCACGTTGGAGCAGCGGAACACTGAGTTACCTCAGGAAATAGAGCATGCTGCAAATTCTTGGGCTCATATTCGGCGTCGCGCGTCAGAAATCGCACCCTGGGGCCACGAGATACTTGCAACGGTCGCCTACTTCCTAGAGGGAACAGTGCAGATTGACAGTGATCCACAAACGGCGACTTGATTACCATGCAAGATGCAAGACGCTCTCTGTCTGGAACTGGAGGGCACAGCACAAACGCTCTCAGACAGAGCCGAAGGGTACGAAAGAACAAGCGCTAGCTTTAGCGACTGGGTAAGAAATATCGACCTCCACAAAGCCTGTGTGGGCAGGATTCGACATGAAGCGGCTGCTGAAATAGATCGCACCAAACTGCTGCCAGCCAAACTGCTGCTGCGGCCAGGCAGCCGCCTCCTGCCACTAGGCAAGTTCGCCTGGTAGGGCGGGCTCTTATTGGGCAACGAGAAAGCCAATCGCCACCGGCAGTTCGTGAACTAGCCGATTGGCGAGTAGCTGTTGGCGACGCGCATACACAATTCTTGAAGCCGCTCCATAGCAGGATTTGGAAAGCGCGAGTGCTGCGGGGAAATCCGAGGATACCGCGACGGCGAAAACCGACGCTGCTGCGATGGGGGAACCCCGCGCTCGGAACTGTGGTGAAGCCCAAGACGACGCAGTCGTCAACGTGCCACCTGCCGCCGCAACCGCATCCTGAATGGAGGCCGACCCTCCAGCGGCGCGAACCACCAGCTACCCCTAATCGACCGGCGCGCGACAAACTAGTCATGCAATAACTTCGGGCGCAGCCCCCTGAAGCTTGGCGCAACTCGCCGGGTGCCCAGCCACCGTCCGAGATCGAACGGCCAGGATACCAGCGCGGATTCGTCAAACGACCGTCGGTCTGCAGCTGGGGAAATCGTTGGGATATTGATGAGTAAAGAGAAGAAGGACACATAAGCCAGTTAATGGAAGCATGATGTTTATTTACGAAACGTTGCGCTCGGCACTGGGTAGCTTCGGGAGGTCGAGGGCGATGGCGCAACGTGCGCGAAGCTCGCTGGCGGCGGGCACTTCGAGGCGCTCGACGCAGAGCTCGCGTCGGCAGTGAGCGACGCCCTCAGAAATTGCGACCTCGAGCGAAGGGTGAATGCCCGCAAAGAGCGCGCCGAACCCCGCGACTGCTTTGTCCAGAGACGCCATGTTGTTTTACGTGCGTGGGTTGGCACCGGCTCGTGGAAGCCGATGGGCGCGCCGTTCGTTTCTCCCATCTGAACAGTGTCATGGTGGGCGGGCGCGATTTGTAAGTCCCCTGAAGAATGGGGCTATACCGTCTTTGGCATGAAGGCGGCGCCCGCCGACAACGCCCTCGAAGCCCCGTTTCGGTCGCAGGTTGAACGCCGTGGGAACATGGGGGCCGACGCGGGCGCTCGCCGCAGGAAGGGCGGGGGGGGCCCGAACGAGACATGCCAGTGGCTTTGCGACAGATGCCGAAAGCTCGTTAAACGCATGAGACTTTCATCGAGTAGAAGGGGGCGGTCAACCTCTCAGGGGGGGAACACCATGGAAGCAAGCAAAGGAATTTGTAGTGACTGGGCTCCGCGAGGAGGCTGTTCCGCCCCGCCCCCGCGAAGGGCGGCAAGAGCGCGCTCGCGGCGGGGCCGCCGCGAGCGCCCTAGTAAGTTTTGCGCAGCCTGCGCTCGAGATGGCAAGCGCGCTCCTCCTGGCTGCGAGGAAGCGCGCAGGAAAGCCGCGCTCCTTTTTTCCAGGGGGGCGCTCGAACCCGAGGCGACGCACGCACCTTCGCTCGCGCGGCGAAGTCGGGCGCCCCAGCGGCGAGGCCAGGGTCGCGACCCCGCGCCCAGCAATCTGGGAGCAGGCAGCGAGCGCGATAAGTATCGGCCCTCTTCCCGCGCGCCTACTGGGGGCCCGCAGGAGGGGCAAGGGCGCCTCTAAGGGGAGGGGCTCAAGCTGGAGCCACTCGCTAGCAGGGGCCAGAGAGCAGTCGCCTGGGCGAGGAGGCAGGCGATATGGAACCCCGCTGGTCCAGAAGGGCGGGGGCAGAACTCCTCCTGCGAGCCCCAAACACGGCAGGAGTCCTGAAGGGTGGTCGCGCAAGTAGCCGCACGAGCCGCGCGAGTTGCCCAAGGACTGGGCGCGGGCGCGGCGAGGAGAAGCACTGGCTCCCCTGCTTGGGGGAAATCTCCCACCCCCAGGTTCGGCGCCGAGGAAACTAGGCGCAGTTCTTAGTCTCGCGCCGGGGGAACTCGGCGCTCTACCGCCCCGGGCGGCCCCGGCCGCGGGAGCTTGAGCGGGCCCTTCGACGCCGTGGCGGACGCCTCCAAGACCCCGGAAAGCACGCCGCCGCCGAAAAAAACTTGGCAACAGAACAGACGTACAGTCGAGAAACGGCCTAGACCAGTGGGCGATGCTCGTTCTGGGCGTGACCCATCATTCGTAGACGATGCGGAGACTGCTGCTCGCGCGGCAGCACCCCGGCTGGAGGCGGGAATCCGCAGAAGCGGCCCCCGCGATTGTTGCGGCAAGGATCGCCCTATCCTTGGATCAACGCACAACGAGGATCCCTGCGCGTCTTCGCACGCTGAGTCGCGCGATAGCGACATGGCGGACGGGTTTTGGACGATGCCCGGCAGAAAAGATTACAGGACAGGGGTGGACGCCGCCCTCGGGAGTCTGGTTCGGGCGCTGCTGACGTCGCAGAGGAGCGCGAATTGCTCCTCGATTCGGGGTCGCTTTGCGACCTCACAGGTCGCGAAGATCTTATTCGCAGCGAGCGCCCTAGGATGTGCCATTTGGACATGGGCGCGATTCTGTCCACCGCTAACGGCCCTGCGCTCACCCTGTCATGCTCGAGTCATGGCGATGCTGGGTCAAGGTTGGGGATGCACCCCCCATCGCGCCCGATTGTCGAACGCGTTCCTTCTAGGTCAGGGACAACGCCCCCCATCTTGCCTGCCCAGCCGCGTGCATGAGGAGCCGACCTGCCACCGAGCCATGGCCAGAGCGGGGCGCCAGTCTGCCATCCGCGCCCGAACGCGTTTTGGAGAGGACTCGCGCTGCGTGCGGGGTCTGGCGCGGCTTCGTCTTCTCGAGCTCCCCCCCGAGAGGCGGCCGACCTCGTGCCCCCGCGCGCG